GATTATAAACATGCAGCAAATATTATCCAGTACTGCTGCTGTTTTAGACAAAATGTTACAGTGATAACCGAATCAGTTTAATACGCTTAATGTTGTTATAATTAATGAGTGAAAATAATAAATTTATTTGTTTCATATAGCACCTTTTAAAAACAAGTTGAATGATAGCCTTGATACATAAAATATAACTAGATATTAAAATAATGAATACAAAAATAAGATCAGAATAAAAGCCATAAAAATCTAAAATACATAAATAAATAATAAATATATACATTAAGTAAAAAGACGACATCACACAAAGACAAGTCTATGAAAATGGATTTTAAGAAGTGATTAAAAAGGAGTGGCTGATTCTGTAAACCCTATTAAATGCACGTAACAGTGATTTACGTCATCATGATTGAGACATGTTCTTATTGCTGTTTTAAACAGGGGTTCATTCAACTGTACGGACATTTTGGAGAATTGTTGAGTGTTTTGGTTATTCATCCTGCCCTCGTTGACATAAATGGGGGTTAACAGAATAACAGACACACCTGTCAGTATAACGCAATAGTTTAACAGAAAGTATGCAACACCTTGTGTTCTCCTAAAAGAGTGTGTGTGTGTAGTTTGTCACAGAAACATGTTTGTGCTGATTGTCAGAGAGGAATAAAGGTTTACTAAGTATTTTTCCATGATATCAAATGATGTAAACAATCTATTGCCAACAGCAGTTGCTTTGTAATTATTTTGAATTTCATTTCTCAATTTGCTGGCAACTAGTTCACAAGCATGCTCCAACCGACAGCCTTGGTTCACTTGCTGCTGTTTACACGGCACTGTGTTGGCATGTTAAGTTTTTGTGGCTGTCAAATAAGAGCTGCTTTTACCACGCCTCCTGACATCAAGTTTCAAAGCGACAACCGTAACCAGTGTAACAAGCTGACACGACATCAGTGAAAAACAGGCAGTAACACATGCTGGTGCAAAGGAAAAAAACGGGTAAAAGGTAATTAAAAAGAAAATGGATGAGCTGTATACGAGTGTGAATCATCACCTTTGTAGTTATTAGTTATTAGTTAGGTAAAAAAACAATCACATAATTACATGTAATTTACACACATAATATTTTATTCAGTAGTGCAAAATCAAGTTTCACATTCACTTCAGACCCTTAATCCCTGTATTGAAAGGCTAAAGTGCTACCATAAAGTACTGCTAAAGCACTGATATTAAAGAGCTTGTTAAATGCAAATGTCAATGCAGCACTGGTGCTACCAGTTCTGCAACTTACATGCAGTGGGTGGTATTCATGGCTGAAGGGATTACTGAAGGGAGCTTTTCTGCGGGATAGTAAATTATTATCAAGTCATGGCACAGAGGAGTGTGTTCACGAGGAGAAACTTCCTTGTGAGTTCACCACCTTTATTTCTATGAGACGCAATCGATGTGTGTACAGAGGTGTTGTGAAACAGTCAAATGATGTCATGAGAAACACCGAAGCCGTTGGTTGGGCAATACTGCAGCCAACAGCTGCCAAACTAACATTTCTGCAGCTTAAAATACCTAAACCCACTATCACACTATACTAACAAGTGCTGCCGGTGCTCGATATAGCTCACACATCCATGCCAAAGAACTCATTGTTAAAAAACTATTAATGCTGTTGCATTAGGTTATACATGTCTTCACTGTGGTAATTACTTTTTAATTGGAGCTAGAATCAGGTCTACTCCCAACATATCTGATCTGCTCTGACACACCCAGATTTTTTTCCTACCAAAAACTAACCTGGACTTCCCTGGATCCTTGTTTGTGTGGACTGTGGTCGGAGAGGATGTTATCTCCTTCGCAGCCGCTCTTGAGCTCATCTTTCTGATCCACTCTGCATATAAACAGAGGAATTATTAGGAAATAATGCATGCAATAGCTGAGGTTGATGGTGTTAGATTTATAAAATCAGCATATCATCAGAGTTATTACAATTCATCCATGAACAACATTTCATGGCAATCCATCTCATAGTTTAAAGATATTTCATTATTTAAAATGGTTTTCAGGACCTGAGTGAAACAGCTACAGGGTCTGTCAAGGACTTTATTCTCCATTATTACTGTCATTAAAATCTTAAAATACTTACCACGACACTGAATTAAGCTAACTGGAACATGGCAAAAGAAGAGGGTGGTAGTTTAGAGATGATAAACCAGAAAGGAAGTTTAAAGTGGCATCGCACTACACTGATAAAATGATACCAACCTACTTCCTTACCAGGGCGGCGCTGCATAGATGTGACAGATGGTTGATCAGTTGATACAGCAGTAATAAAAAACAAAATTGCATGCTATCACAATACCAAAAGAGTATTTTTACCTGTGAAATCCCCATGAGGTTTGTGCTATTTTTGTGTCATCTGGATCATCATGTGTTCTTTCTGGTTTCAGTGAGTTTATGTTCAACATTTCCAGACCCCCTAGTGATAAGTGATAAAATAAACAAAAGAGACATTTAACAAACAGAATTATGAAACACAAAGACAAAAAGTGATGTAAGTAGTTGCGTGTGAAGGTAAAGATTGTCTTTGGAAAGCAGAAACTGTCATCCAGACTTCACATAGTCTGATATAGATCTGACGAGTACTCAGTTTGAAGCATACTGACGCCCCTCAGGTGTACATGTATGGCTGAGGACAGAAATAAAACACGACTACGTCACTGCAAAAGTTTGTATTCGTGGCCAAATTAATGAATAAAGTCTATAAAAATGGGTTTTAAGAAGTGATTAAAAATGAGTGGCTGATTCTGTAAACCCTATTAAATGTACATACCTCTGTATATGAATGTGTTGACTTTAATAAGTGGGAGTATGCTGTAAATGCACACATTTATGACATGATGTGTTTAACCACTCTTCATCACACGTGCTGATTAGAGTCATCAGATAACAGGAAACTAATTTCAGGAGAAAACAAGACAGTGGTGTGTTATTCTGAAACCGTCCACGCACAGAAAGTTTCATTTTTAGTTATTAGATATAACGCAGAAACACTCATTAGTGTGTCAAAGTTTGGGGTCAAAATGATAAAATTGCTGTATATTATTATAATTTACATGGGAAATAATTGATTTACACGACGTATAATGGAGAAAAAGATTTATACATACATAAATAAAACTATTGGCCTCAATGCACCGTTAATGCTCTGCTCTTTATTGACTATACTCTGATTACTGAGGTACTTTTTTCCCAGTATAACTAAGAATTACACACCCAATTCATTCCGATTATAAACATGCAGCAAATATTATCCAGTACTGCTGCTGTTTTAGACAAAATGTTACAGTGATAACCGAATCAGTTTAACACGCTTAATGTTGTAGCACCTTTTAAAAACAAGTTGAATAATAGCCTCGATACATAAAATATAACTAGATATTAAAATAATGAATACAAAAAAAGGAGCAGAATAAAAGCCATAAAAATCAAAAATACATAAATAAATAATAAATATATACATAAAGTAAAAAGACGACATCACACAAAGACAAGTCTATAAAAATGGGTTTTAAGAAGTGATTAAAAAGGAGTGGCTGATTCTGTAAACCCTATTAAATGCACGTAACAGTGATTTACGTCATCATGGTTGAAATATCCAGGAATTTTTCTTTCATTAGCATCAGTTGGCTGGACAATTACACTTGTAGCCACATGAAGTTGCTGAGCTCGCCCTGGGCTTTGCATGGGAAGTTTTTTTAGTGAATCTACAACAGCTGTAAGCCAGCCAGTGCGGTGACGTTAAGCTCTGAAACAAAACTGAAAATTATCAACTGTGCAAAACCCAAAGGTATCAGTTTTAGCCTCTGTGATCAATGTCAGTCAAATTGTAGTGCTCCTGGTTATTGGACAGCCTTGGTTTACATGTTGTTGTTCTTTAATGTATTTTAACAGTTTTCTAAACAAAGCACTGTTCTACATTCACTCAGTTACATGGCACAGAGGTCCAAAAAGGTGACATAAGACAAAAAGACACTGAGAGAATATGAGATAGATATATGACATTAATACGAAGACAGTACAGTGTCAGTGATACCACGTGGTTGTAAACAAAACCAGAGAGGCTGTAAACTGGATTTGTCATGTTTATCTGGTGTTTACATATTTATGAATGTGTGTTTTATATAAAACTTGGTGGTTAATAAGGAGTCTAATAAAATAAGACCTCTCTTTCACTTCTGAGTTCCACTTACCTCCAACGGATGTCCGTCTTTGTTCTGAGGGGGTTAGATGTTCTTGGTTCCTCGTCGTTCCTCCGCTGTGGGTCCTCAGAGGTTCGGTTCTGCTTTCTGTCGTTGAGTTCTTGACAGATAGGTGGGGTGTACTGGACTGGATTTTGTACCAGGTTTCATGCCGTGGTTCTGCCAAAATTGATGTGTAAAAGATGGATTTTAGCTCTTTTCTAGCTATAGAAACAGTTTCAAGGATAAGTCTAAGTTTGTCTAAGACAAGAAAAAAAACAGTCTGGTGGCCATGTGAACACTGAAACAGGTCTGGTTTGCTGTAATAATTACTTCCGTTCTTACTGGCTATTTTAAGATTTCTTGAGTGCTTTCAGTGTAATTGATGGAGTTCAGAATGTGTGAATATTTGACATATTTAGGCCTTCTATCAATTATTGGCAAGGAAAACTATTAATGAACACAATTTTAATATGCAGATTCAATCAAAAATATCAAAATATATGTTAAATATACATTCAAATTACCATCATGACTTCCATCCTCTTTGTTACAACTGGAGGACAAGGATTTTTGCTGAGGTCCCAGTCCAGAACCAAGACTCTGGTCCTGTTTCCGGATCCCCGGGGTCATCCATCCCTCCCAGGCGCCACTGCTATAATCACACTCTGGGAGGTTTAAACGGGAATCCTGCAGGCCGAGGCAGGGAGAATGGGATGGGAGCTTGGGAAACTGGTGACACTGGGAGGGTGGGTTATCTGCACCCTCGCTGCTGCTTCCACAAGTGCTCCTGGAGGTGGAATGCATGGGAAATGTACAGCACTTCAGAGGTGTTGAGGCCTGACTTGTGTGGTTTGGAGGACAAAGACAAAATGCTGTGGTTTTTGTAGCTTGCTTTTGACCTTCGACCCAGTTTGACCCAGCGCTGCTTCCCGGTTTTGAATCGTTGCACTGGCAGAGAGGCAACTGTGTTTTTGTTTCATCACAGCCTGTGGATAGAGTTTCCTTGTTAAAGCTTGAGACTCCCTCTATGTGGTCGTTCACGGCCTTAAAACTAACAATAACTTCCTGGTTTCGCCAGGCCCGAGGGGAATCTCTGTTGTCCTTCAAGGGGGGGGGGATGTTGAAATGCTGCACTAAGTCTGATTCATACGCAGCGCTTGGCCGTTTGGGTGTGTTTTTCCGTTGCAGCAGCGATTGTGCCCATTGAACCTCTGAGGTGGCACCAGATGAGCTCAGAGCCATTTTTCTATGAGGTGCTGTAAATTCAAACTGACCTTTCACCTCGTCTTCGTCAACAACTTTTGCTGCAGTCTTGTACTCGTTCTCCATCTCTTGGTGCTTCAGCCTTTCCTCTCTGAAAGGCTTCCCAACAGAGGCTGTCTGTCTAGAATCACTGTTCTTGTTTTCTTCCAAATGGGATTTCTCTCTGGAATCTTGTATTTGCCAAACTTTCTCTTCTCTTTCTGTCGTTGTGGGAATATCAGTGATCTCTTTTGCTTGGAAAGGAGTATTATGGGGAGTATTGAAATAAGTTCTTCTAAGTTCTTGGTTGCAGACCAGAGAGAATACCTCAGACTGAGCCTGGATCTCTGTTTGGGTGTTTCTGTGGCTGTACTGGGGTGTCTCAGGATTATATGAGGCACAGCAAAAGTCCCGTAAAGTCCCGAATTGTCCGCTATGCTCGGGCTCGAAGGTCAGAGACTGGAAGGACTCCAGCTGCGTTCCTTCGCCTTTAAAGACCATAGATGGGGCAGAGGAGTGCCACTGGATGCCAGAGGTCAACTTCCTGCTGGGCTGTTGCTGGCTCAGACAAGCCCTCGTCTGGACCTCCTGCTGGTCAGTGGCCTTGGAATTATTTCTGTCCATCCTGGAAATGGCCTCAGCCTCCCGCAAGAAGTAACGTCTCTCAGTCATCATCCTACCGGGGTTCTGAGAAATAAAGATTGAAGAAAATACTTTCAGAGTCACATGTACAAACACATGTTAGTGTTGATGAGAAATATCTTGATATATATATATATATATATATATATTAAATAATTTGAGTATTTTATGTCAGTTTATAGTGTTTATATGACTAACATTTCATTTTGAAAAGAAAGCAAGTTCAGTTTTTACTACTTTGAACAATAAAAGTGTTTAATTTCTGATTCATTTTGTTTGTATTGTATAATTTTGTAGTATAATCAAAGCCTTCAATATACACATGATGCCATTAAAATGTTTTTATATTCTTTTCACGACCCAGTTCTGGAGCTGTGACACAAACAAGGAGACATATATTAACGGCAAATTCTAAGTAATTTATTTTAACATAACAACATAAATGCAACCAGAAAAGGGAACTAAGGAGAAGATGAGGTGTGTGTGTTTATCAGTTACGTCAGTAGTGAAAGAGTGTGTGCATGAGTGTCCTGTATAGCGAAAGATAAATGTTGGATGTCAAAACACAACAAAACCAAGCACCAGAGATGAAAGCAAGAGCGAGAGACTCTCAGCCAGAGAGGCGGGGCTTTTATAGCCGGGAAACACCGGGTCCAGGTGCTTCCGGCTACACTGATTTGGTCCGCCCCTCAAATACCTGCTGCCTTAAAAGGAAGAGGAAACAAACAAACAAACCCAGGGGACAATCACGATTCTCTATCATCCTCATAGTAGAATAAGCCACTATAAAAACCACCAGGACACTGAGATGCAACGCCCAGCACTGCATATAATACAGTACTACAGGACACTGTGCCACAGTAAACTACTCTATATACTGTGCTCTTATGTAATATACCTGCGGCTGTTGTTTCAGCTGATCCTCTACACACTTCCTGAGGGCCTCTTCCTCCCTCACAGCAGAACTGATCAGCATTTGTTCCCAGACAGAAAAAAAAAGAGCAACAACTTAAAATGTTAAGTTAAGTAAGTTAAAATGTTCCTATAAGCAAAGGATCTACTATTCATGCAATACGTAACACCCCAAAAACCTCCCGAGTTGTAGGCCAGCTGTTTGAGTACCTGTCTTCAAGGTCAGCAGTCAAGAGGTTCCTCATTCCAGAGGGGCTGACTGAGTCCTGGTCTCTGTGCACCGTCCCTGTGATGGTAGGTAAATGTCTCTGCTCTGCTATATCTTCGTCGGATCCAAAGGTATCTGAGTGGGAGGCAACAGGGCAGGATAAACTTTAATATACAATGCAGATGGATCAGTAATGAATCTGCAAAACAGGAGGCGAGGGGAAACTTCAGTGCAAGCTGCAGGCCGAAAGCATTTGACTGGATGAGTGCCAAACATCTCAGCCTACTGTGACATAGTATGGATGAAAGTGAGAAAACTCTCCACCGCTGTGAGTTATAGCTGCAAGTACAACTTTACAGTAAGTGTTACTGGAGTCACAGGTTGGCTTTACAATCTGAGCACAGTCGTCTGATTGTTAATGTGTCTGACGGCCCGTAAAGCTACATTTCTCAGAGTCTGGCTGGATTCAGACACTCGCAGTAAAAGCTATAAACATGTTCTATTAGGTTAATAATCACTGTTCATTTCAATAAATCTGACGGACCAGTTGACACGACATGAGCGTACATGTATTCCTTTGAAATATTACATTTTAATGAAGGTTGTTGCCTTTTAATAGTGCAGTTTGTTTTCAAAAACTACATTTTCTGTTTTATTCTTAATATTTCTTTAAAAAATAACAGTGATTTGATCTGTTTATTGACACAATGAGAATGAAAATACCATCTAATGCAGCAACATGAAACTAATCATCTAGGTATTTGATGTGTTACGAGCCAACTTTGCCTAATATTAAATCTAAAATAACAAAACTAGACGGCAGTACCACAGCGATATATTCACAGATGATTAACCTTTTATTGTGCAATTTACTATTTTAGTCATTTTATTTGAATATAAATGAGAATGAGCTGTGATTTGCTCAATTTGGAACAACCTGTACTATTTTGTATTATTTCTGTCCTCATCTGTGACACTGAGTGTTAAGATACAAAATGAAACTGTCCTAGTCAAAAAAATCCTGCAGGTAGTTAAAGATTAGCTGTGCAGTAGCTACAGAGGGCCGGACTACTGGGCTTTAATTACACCATGACTGCTCCTTGATCCCCTGAATGGTTGACTGAGTAACCTGATATACAGTTAAACCATTGTCTGTGGAAGGAGTAGGGAGGTCAAGGATCAGTTTTAAAAAGTGAAGAGGGACGACAAACACAGAAAAAAGGTTCCCAAGATAGATTAAATCAAGTATTCTTGTCACTCCTAGCTCCCAGATCAAAGTCAACTTATGTATAAATCCTTTTTAAGCAATGAAGCAACAGAACAGAGGCAAAGATTTAACATACAGGTAACTGTGTTGAGTAACTAGTCTTGTGTTAAAGCACCTTTAAAGATCTGGTAAGAGAGGTCACATCCTCTCCATGTCTCTAAAACATGTTCCAGAAGAAAGTCTAATCTTGAGTAAAACCCTTGTCTGGACTTGTAGCTGAAGTAGAGAAGGAGTTCGAAGCATGTAGAGTTGAATGTGAGGCCTTGGGTTAACCCCCTCTCCTCCTCCTACTCCTCCTCCCTTAGGACGCAACATTCCTTGCAAACGCATTTACTTGTCCTTACATAGTAGAAAACTTTGACAGCAGCACTATGTCCATCTCCTCGTGCCTAAATGTAAATCTTTCACCAATTCCCAGGGATCCACATCTGCAAATTCTTCTCTTCAGTGTCCATTTTTAGCATTTTTAGCTGCTAAAGAGACTTGCAGTTTTAAAGCAGTGTTGTGCAGTTGTGACACTAAAGCTGTATGTCATTCAGTAGCCTCTGGGATTTACTGAACCCTCAGAACAGCAAAAGCACCTAATTCTCACAGTTTGTGCCAGGAAAAAGCAGTTTGCTTTGCAAGACGATGAAAACATTTTTCTCATTTGGCTGGCTGACTGTCAAAAGTCATATCAGCATGTGCTGATCAGTATCTGACTGTTCTATCTTGTCACACAGGAGCCTGTCAGGGCTTAGCATGGCATTCACAGCATTCATCTCAAAATAAACTTTTGCAACTTGGTGCTAAGTTTGATAATTAACCAGTCCTAGTTTCCTCTTAACAAAAGGAGCTTGGACTATTTGTAATTTTAATGTTACAGGCTGCTTTTGTCTCTTGTGAAGCCCCATTGGTCCCACAGTGGAAAAGCAGCTGGTGACTCACCTCCTCAGCTACGAGGCGGAGCTATGAGTTCGAAGCTGAACAGCAAAGCAAACTCAAAGGAGCTGTGTACCATTTGTTCTGCACACAGAGGGAACTACTTCCAGACCTGGAACTTACTCTCACAGAACTGGACCTAAAGCCTGAATAACTCTGGAAACCAGAAACTCACAATAGGACTGAAAGAAGAATTTAAAACCTAAAAGAGGATTACAACTGAAGACACTGAAGAAACTTGTTTGGCAGGATTTCTTTGTTGTTGTTTGTAGGTGTAGACTTTGTGTGTGAAGTGGTTTCTATATTAGATTAGGACAAGCATCTCACTGTTAAAATGTCTAACTCTACTTTCCAACTTATTGAGGACTGTGAAGCCACAAACAAGACACTGTATAAGTTCTATGCAGCTGTCATGATTGTGATTTTCATCTTGGCTTTGCCTCTGAATGCATCTGTCCTCCACCTCTTCATATTCAAGCTGAAATTCTGGAAATCCAACACCAATAACATCTTCCTGTTCAACCTGGTGCTGGCAGACATCCTCCTGCTCTTCTGTTTGCCCATTAAGGCACACAACTTCATCAATGGAGAGAGGAGGAGTGAGGACAACACCGTTTGCAAAGCTATGCTCTTCATGTTGTTTTTAAACCGAGGTGCCAGCATTGCCTTCCTCACGGTGACTTCCATTGATCGATATTTCAACGTGGTACACCCTGGTCGAAAGAATCTCCTAAGGGTTCTAAAGAAATCTCCTCAGATCTCTATCGTCATCTGGCTGCTTCTTCTGCCCCTCACCATTCCCACCATGCTCAAGAACTTCGATTGCTGCAACAGCCACAAGACGACCAAAGACGATACCTTGGTTAAGGTAATTTTCTCATGCTGAATGTGCAATTTCTGTAAAATGTCACTATGCATCTCTCTTTAGAGTTTTGGTGTTTAAACATTGGTCCCAGAAATCTGGGATAGTACATGAGATGAGTCAAATCATAAGAAATCACAGAGCACTTAAGCAACAAATGATTCAGCGGGAACTTCTGTCAGTTATGACCATGTGACAACACAGTGCTGAGTGAGCAAAATGTGATGTCACTACTGACATTAAAACCTGTGTCATCTATTATTTATGCAATAATCAGTTCACGCAGAGAATAAGGATTTCAAAAATTACAAAATAACTGAATATCTGTGATTAAGGGGATGAGAGGCCTTATCAGAAATAAAGAATGTGAGTACATGGCGTCCTCTGAGTTTATCTCATCTCCAGAGCTATTTTTGCATTGACACATCACACTGCATGAAACCTGTGTGTTATTCACTGTGTATTACACCTCACGGTATATAAGATTCGACGCACTACAGGGCGCCTCATCACCAGATAACAGTGGAGAAGAAGGAAGCATGTTTATTATTTTTTAGATCAGGAAACCTCAGAGTGCATAATTGTGTTTATACCATGGCCACCTACTAAACAGGTTGTGTTTGAACTTGTTTATTTTATGCAGTTTAATTTGTGGTTAGATTAGTTTCACTGATAAGTAACTTTTAGAGTGAAGGGTAAATACCTTTGGCTACTTAAGCAGTGATAAAGTGAAGTAGATCTATTTTAGTAGTGTAGTAGAATTACATTTCTGAAGTATACTTTCCCTTTTATTTTACTTCTACTGCAAAACATTTCACAGAGAAACATTACTACCTTTATTAGTCATAGTTACTTAACAGATTAAGATTTCACATACGAATACATACTGTAACAACCTTTTTGGTTTGCGAACCTTTACAAAAACATAGTATGTACTCGAGGCCCTTTGTCACACTTCAGATGTCTATGAGTTGTTATCAGTTCCACCAAAGAGTGAAATCCCCTCCAAGAAAAGTCCCAAAAAAATGAAAAACTATTTTAGTTTTTTCTTCTCTCCTAACCAATTAATCATCTCATAACCCCTCAAGTTTATCTTGTGAGCAGCTGGAATGGTCCTGACCTTTAGGTTGGAAACCATAGGATTAAACTACCTATATACTTTTATGCTATATGTCAGGATATTCAAACTAACTCCACCTCGACTAGCTACAACAGTGACACGCGACTTGTGCTTTGGTGCATCAGACTTAATCTGATAATGTCATTATTATCAGATTATAAATATAGGGGACATTTTTCTTGCAAAACGAGTACTTTTACTTTAAATACATTTTACTGCTAATACTTCTGTACTTTTGGTTAAGGGAGAGTTTGAATGCAGGACTTCTAACAGAGTATTTTCCATAGTAAAGTATCTGAGCACTTCCTCCACCTCTGACTTGCGCAATAATTTAGAAGAGTTGTAAAACTGCTGACCAGTACAGTCCTGATATATACTTTGTAGGGACACTATAGTCAACCAATCAATAACTTGTTGTTGTTGTATATGAAAATTAAATTTAGCCTTTTTCTGATTTAAGGATGTGGTGGACAGTTTGCGAGAAGCGGTCTTCTTTACCCAGATCATCATCCCCTTCGTCATCCTGGTCTACTGCACAGTGTGCATCGTCAACCGGCTCAGGAAGAAAACAGTTGGGGATACGACCAAGCTGAGGAGGGCGGTCTTTCTGGTGACCTCCGTCATGGTGGTGTTCTCCTTCTGCTTCCTCCCCTGCGCCATAGCCAGGATGATTCTGCTGATCACCCGGGTACAAGAGGCGAATGAGTTCTACCAGGATAAAGCAGCTGTGGCCTTCGACGGTCTCATGGTCCTCTCCTACGTGGACTGTCTCCTGGATCCGCTGATCTACTGCTTCTGTAGCACCAAGTTCAAAGCTCTTTATCTCTCCACCTACTTCCCATTCATACTGAAAAACCAACAAGTGCCATTAGACAGCTCAACCGACAACAAATCGCATCCCACACGCAATAATGTCATTTGAAATTCATGGAAAACAGATGCTGGATGGCTACTGATGGCTACAGTGTGCTGACACAGCAGAGACTGACAGTGTGTCCCATAAATGTACCTTCTTTAGGGAAAAGGACTGTAAAGGCAAAGTGCACCATGAAGACAAGACGTGCTGTAATTATTTAAGTTTCTATTTTCTATTGATTGTTAAATAGAAATATATAGAGAGGTACCTGTGTAAATAGGAGGGATAGTTATGGTTTTATAAGAGCTTTTTTAAAGGGAATGCCCCTCAGCTAAAGTATGCACATCTGCTTTTATATTTTTCTTGGACAGCAAGATGAGTTGTGGCCATGAAAAATTTCTTTCAAGTGTCAGAAGCCAAAAAAGAACAAGAATCTTATCTGTCTAATCAGACCAATCTCACACAGCCTTTATGTAAGCTTTCAAAGTCAAACAGGCATTAGTGTCTAATATAACCATGTCAATCGAAAGTGTTTAAATCTTGTCAAATACATTCTCTATGAAGCTGTAGATGGGGGTAGACATGTGATTCAATTATAGACAGTATTCACTAACATGGTTTCAGCAGGGGTGTGCATGTAACTGACCCCAAAATAGATGCATATTAGGCCACAGTCAGTCCCCTGTTACATAAGACTTAATCCTAAAGGCCCATACAGGAAGCTGATGATTTAATGCTGATTTATTATTAAACTGTATAACTGTTCATCCAGTATGTGGAGAGGCAATGGTGTGATTCAACTGTACATAGTTTCAGTCCAGGGTACTTTTTTTCTGAGTAAATTTTTGATAATATTACAGAAAACTGATGTGATGCATCGCAAAAATGTCACATCCTGACAAAAAGTCCCTTACAATATAAATCATGAATCATGCCATAGCAGAAACAGACAAAACTATACTTGACCCAGACCTTCACAAAAACCTCATCGTACCTGTACTGTGTGAATCACCTGGATGGTCTCACTCACCATGATGATATCATTAGTACTAATACAGCCAGTTAGGGTATGCCTGTTGTTCACTGTCTGGCTATAAATACATGGCTTACTCACTTAATTATTGAACCAGGTGGAGTCTGTTCAGTCTCTGTTTAATTTGATGTTAAAAATGCATCATCGTGTATCACAGAATATGTCATTTTTTTTGCATTTGTCACAGCAGAAATGGGGAAACATTGCAACAACACAATGAAACATTTGTTATGTGAAGAATTACGCCCAACTGTCTGGTCCATGGTTGAATTTTACATGTTGAAGTTTATAAAAAACAATAATGTAATGTAATTAAAATCTGCTCTACAGCTTTGTAGTACGATAATTTATTAATGTTAAAACAAGACTGACGTGTACTTACCTCAGAGTCACACATAAAGAGGGTTATTGTGTTCATAGTGTACGAATATTTACCAAGTAAACAGGAACACGAGTCTTTGTTTTAACATCCTGCAGTTGTGTTTTTTTGTACTGTGTCAGTTAGGTGTGTAGATTTGACCTGAGCGGAGCAGCATGTTAACATTTTTTGTATCCAAGTATAACGTTTACGTCTGTAAATGTACCAATCAGCGCAATTACAAGTAGGTTTATATGAATTATGGGTGCAAACGTCTTCTGAATTCTTAACCATTAGTTATACATTGACATTTACATAATGGGACTTCCTGTAACTGTGATCTGAACATATTTCTTTGTTTTTTACTTTGTTATAATAAGCGTCCCAATAAATGCTTCAATAGATATCAGACCCTCAACACATGATAATGTGAAAAGTGTGTATAAGGTTGTCATGATATTGTTGTTTTATTGTTAACATAAATGTATACTTGACCAGGGATCACATCTAGAGAATCTGTTTTACTGGTGGCATTCAATATTGGCTTCGTGTTTTTACTACTTCTGCAATGTGTGAATGTGTAAATATATTTTTTATCTTTGAGTACATTTCTGCTGACTGCTCATTCCTCATTCATTCATGTTGCTTTAAAACAAACTTTCTGAAAATTCACTCAACTGTTTGAAAGCATTCGAAGCTTGGTATCCAACAACATTAACTCAGCTGATCGGAGAGCCGCTGTCACACACTCACATTCCCGTGATGAGTCAACATGCCCTTGAGCAATCCTGAAATTTCTGTCCTGGGATAAAGAGGGTGGGTGTGACTTTGATTGCTGGCTCTATTGTGTCTGAAGAGCTCCATTAGCAGGAGGAGGAGGGAAAGCAAAAACAAGCAGCTGACTTCAGTTTAAAAGCGAAACTAGTAAATGCAAAATCCCAGCATGCAGAGCTTAATACCAATCACAAAGGGTCGAGAAAGAAAGGAAGCTAAACATTAGCTCAAAAGTAGGCTTATTTATCTGTCTAATCATGATGACTAACTTCTGTTTTGTCTCTGCTTATACAAACTAATCTGAAATGAGATTGTGAAGGAAAAGTGAAGGGTCGGGACTTACATGTAGTTGGTCTGAAAAATATCAATTCTATTATTGAACTTTAATTGGTCTTTTGGCTCTAATACAAACACGTTTAATAGTCTGGATGTAAAAGTTCATCTGTTGTGTCAAATAAGCACATAATGTAATTTCATTAATTTCCTTGCAGATTAGTTGAATCTGATGACCTGCTGTCTCTAACTGGGTCTTTATGATAGCACAGGAACGCAAAAACCTTTTGAAATGGCTCAAATTGAGAATTCACACTGCTACTTAAAAGCACCGATGTACTGTATTTGATAACAGCGTTAAAAAAAAAAGTCACAATCTGTGGAGCAATGACCTCGGTTTGCCAGTTGCAGTCTTAGAAATGTGAACTTTTCCAATCCTACACATAACAGGACTCAACATGCTAATATGAAATCTATAGGTCAGATAAGATCAGCTGGTTTGTCAGTGTAAATACAGAAGTAGGTGTAGTTCTTACCCTGGTTGGGGCATGTAAAGACAGGATGATGTTCAGGCCTCCTTTGAGCTGATGGATGGGATGACACTGGGAGAAATGGGTGCTGTGGGCGCACGCACAAACCCAAGAGATGGAAAAAATAAGAGGAAGCGTGTGAGGAGGGGTAAAAAGACCTAATACAGTCTGGTCCACACAGCATGTATGAGCATGGCTGGACGGCAGCATTACTGAACTGCTGCAGCTCGCACCAAAATAAAAGCCTGGATTCTGTCTTTTAAAGCTGCAGTAGGTCATTTTTGTAGAAAATAATATTTTGTCATATTTGCTGAAGTTTTCACTACATCGTGACGATCTGTTTTTGCCGGGATCCGCGTGCAGAAAAATATACGCACTGCAGTGTGGACCGTGCACAGAGGCAATTAAGACTAGTTATGGGAATTACTGGGGAAATATAATTATGAAGGCTGGTACTGTTAACAATACTGAAGCTGCCAGAAAACAGCACTTACAAAACAAACATTTTTCAACATGATTCCCATTGTGTCGAGTGTGGGGAGTGATACAACATTTTACTTTTTATACTTTTTTATACTTATTTTTTATGTTATCCATGACTATAAAGCGTGAGAAAGAAAAAACCTTTTAAGATTTTGGTTTGTTCTGGAGAAAAAGAAACATTCATTTAGACGTTAATCTTAAAAAGACAGGACTTTCTTAAAGTTTCATTACTTGATTAAATCATTGACATCTGCACCAGTTTCCACAAAGAACTGCAAAACAAGCTGATGGACACCCGACCCTGGCATATTATCACCTTCTGGTTTTGTCTTCACCAACTCCCTGGAAACTATTCTGACTCCTAAGATAAACCCTGTCTGCTGTTTGGTGGTGGGCAGAGAGGCTTCAGTGGCTTTATTTACAGCAAGTCTGTTGAAAACAGCTCTATGCTTCTGGAAACAGGTTTGATAAACATCAGTGAGAGTAAATGTGGTGTAAAATAAATGTAAAGGTTGATAAAAGAATTCCATATTACATTAGACATTTGATTCATTGTTAATATAAATATACTGATTAATGGAGCTTTAAATATATTATAACATTATATATTTTTAAAATATGTATAAAAATGTAAACAAAACACATCGTATTCACAACAATAGAATTTGACTCAAAGGTCATTGGATTTATTATATAGAATTAAAAATCTTTTTAATCCGTTTTTTTGGTTTGGTTTTGGTTTTTATTTATTTTATTTTGATATTTTTATGATGTTTTACATTTTACTGTTTTTATTGTATTAATTTTTTTTGCCCTGCAAAATTTTTAGTCATGGTGGTTGATGTTGTTTTAATGCGTTGTTTCATGTTAAGCACTTTGGGCTACATGTTTGTATGAAAGATGTGATATAAATAAAGTTGAGTTGAGTTGAGAAAATGGGCTTAAAACTGGTTGTTTATCTACCAAGATTGGTACAAACGACATGGACCTAACTTTCTTTTCAATCTATTTTCAAGGAATCAAAAAATCAATTAAGAAAATGTATATACAACACAATAGAAAATAGAATAAATCAATATATATGGTTATTTATATACATATATACGTACATTTACAGGAAAACTCAGTTGTGCATCTTTTGAATTTGCATCTGGGGGAATGTAAACAACAGCAACAAGATAGTGATGATAATATGGTTTTAATCCTCACATAGAAAGAAACTGACGGAGTTTGAGCACCAAGCATCATCGATGGGAACTGTTTTCGGTAAAATGCAGACAGTTGCGTGACCTAGACTTCATTAGTTTAAAGGGGTCTTCATAAAGTACCTTCTCAGAGTTCATGACAGTCGGCGCAGACTGCAAGCCAATCCACCGTAAAGGCACACAGGCAGGAAACATCAGCCCTTCGAGAGAGACTGAGACAGAGATAAAGAGAGAGTAGGAGAGAGAAGCAGATTAGATTGTGAAATAAGATGTTTAATTTCGTAGAGCTGGGTTTGTGTGTGGGAGGAAACCGTCCAAACCATGGCCCAGAAATGCTCCTTGGCATTTCCACAGATACCGATTACAATAAATTTAAGAGACATCTCTCCTGGAGCACCTTACTCTAAGTGCGGACAAAGTAAACAACTGAGTGTCTGTATACCATCGTCATCATTACTGGTGCTTTAAAAAAGGTACTAAAGTATAAGCAAAATGTCCATGTTGTAACAAAACCTGTCAGTGGCTTACTACTAAGACAAAAAAAATGTGTGCAGGCAGTCCCGCAGGCAGAAATAAAGTCAGGGTATGTTGGAGGATAGTTTCTTAAATTTAAGAAAAGATAAGCTCTTCTTAGCATTTTATCTGAACCGAGATAGGGCTGCTGTGTATGCACGTTATGCACCTACGTCACGCAAGGAAGCGCAGTCTGCATGGTTCTGCCACACCAGTTGCACAAGCACAGTTTGCTCAAGTTAGAGTGTAATATTGGGAGCATTATGTAAAGCATTTTCCACCCTAGGATATGGATGTAAACAATACTTTTCTATATAACTAAATGCACAGGATGAACTTTTGGACAGATGTTGGTGGCATCATAACTTCTGATTTTACAAATTATTTAAAAAAAAACTTTCATTATTAGGGCTGGGTGAGTTGTACGCAAAAGATCACATTTAAAACAATTAAGCTGTTGTTAAAACCATTAAGATCAAACTCATAAAATACAGTATAAAACAAAGACATCAATTCTTAATTATTTATTTCCATGATGCTGTGATTCAATAATTTCACCAATAAACAGCAGAAAACTGAATATATTTGAGTCCCGCCGTCATCTTGGTAGTCCTTTAATTCTCTTACAGATGGAAGCTTTTTTGACACAAGAGAACAATAAACAGTCAAAGCTACTAATGTGCTTCTGTAATGCAAATGGTTTCATCAAAGAGCACACTTCTATAATTCTCAGATTAAAGCAGCTTTTTTTTTTTTTACTCTTAGCACAACAAGTGCCGACATGATATTTTGAGGTTTCGTATCTATACTATGCATCTGTTGTTGTACTTCCCTCTGCTGCTGTGACACAGTAATTTCCATGCATACACTTAAAACAGTCAATCTTGTGTTATTTCAATGTCTTGGTAAATTTGACTGTTGTTTTTGTTCATCTTTTTTTTACCTTTAAAGGGGTTTTTCCGGATTCCAGGTGTAAACTGGATCATTTTAAAGAGGAACACTAACATTTCTGTGGGAGAAAAGCAATGTTGCAATGACTGTAGTGGATGAAGATGCACGGTTGTGGTCAGAGCTGGAACAGACTAATGTCTAAATGCACTTAGACATGTTCGGTTGCATAAGTATTGTGGCATTGCTCTTTTAGGCAATTTTACATCACACCTTGCACAAAAGTGGGACAAAGTGGTTAATATTTGTCACGTTAGCAAACTTGTAAGAAAGTCAGCTAACAGGTGCGTGGCTCTACAGCGATGCGAGAGGTAATATGGAAGTTTAAACCATTAGTATGTATTGCTTGTTAGGTCTTACCATTGTTTGTCATTGAAAGAAGAGCAGAGATTAGGAAGTAGAGGGGTTAATGTTTGACTTCAGTGGAACAACATTTTTTTAAAAGCTGATCCAACCCTGTCCCAAGCTTCTTCTGCACGCATCTAATGAGTACAGAAAATGTCTCACCCAAAAGGTTGGATTTAAATAAGTCAACCATCCTGTTTGACTGAAGATTTCTGTCTGTCAAAGTTAATCTCAAACGTCTTCATGCTACAGTGTATGAATAAAGTTGTATCCAAATCGATGCATTCAAGCTTTTATTGATGATGTTAGACTGTTCCTCTACGTATGTCTTGCGCATAAAATAACAGATGGTTTGACAAAAGCCAATTTACGTCAAACTAGAGAAACTTGCAACACATAGGAGCATTGAGAAATCTGTCTGCTGTCTTTTTTACTCCCACTGAAAAATAGTTAAAACGTTACTTTTGTTGTCATCCCCTACTTATCTGAAATCCAGATGGATAATGTAGCTTTTGTAATTATAATAAATAAAATATACAAAATGTTTGTGCAGTACTAACATAAAGTATATTTCATGTTGTTTCTGTTCATGAGGCTCGTTGCATATCTGTTTTCAACCCATTGAATCGTCTTTCTACAAGTATAACGTAATTAATCTTGTTCCTACATTTCCTTGATGTTTTCCTTTTCATATTGTTGTCATATCCACGCACAAAGCTATGTGTAGTCATGATGGTTCGGAATAGACAGATACCTGAAGAATATTCCCAGGCATTTTCCCCTTTCAGTTGCAAAACACCTTAAACTGACACTTTACACTTCAATAACAGAAACAATATGTCATCTTCTATTATCACAGTATTATCCGCTAAATCAACCTGCCATGAGCCTGGTTGCAGAAAGTTGTTTTGAGGTGGACAGCAAACAAGCATCTTTTGTGCAGTGCTTCCCAGTCAGACAAGTCCCCCTCTTTAAACCACACCTCCAGCTCAGTATAAATTCTTCCTCTCTGAGAGATCGGTCTCAGCCTCACACAGAAAGGGCTGACAGACTCACTGACACAGGGTGTTTTTCTCTCCTCTACAGTCTGCACTTTTTTCAGTGTATGCCGTGTTTACAGTGCGATGTGTCCTCCGCATGTTTTGGCACGGCCGGTCGAGTCTTGACAGAGCTCCAGAATCACAGTAAGGCTCTCAGAAGGTGACTGTTGAATTTGACGGATCACAGTGAGAAGGGGAATCAGTGCCTGAGGAGAGAAGATTCTGGGTCAGAGGCAGCTACAACCACCTCCAAAACGAAGGGTTTAACTTTGTGATGGTTGCCTGGAAACACCTTTAACCCTTCTGCTTTCACCACTTTGACTGCAACTTCTCCTACTGCTGCAGAAGCAGCACTACTTCCACAACTGTTATGCAAAGCAACATGTCTACAAATTCAACAATTGACCACTGCAGAACATCCAATGATGTCACGTATGAAATCCTCTCCTGGCTGATGATTATCCAGTTCGTGCTGGGTCTGCCTCTCAACCTATCGGTCCTCTACATCTTCGTCTTCAGGTATGAGAAAACACAATCTTTCTGTCACTGCCTTCTCCTTACTTTCTGAAAGCACTCGAACATAAAATTGATTAGGGTGGTCAGCAAAAAGTCTGGGGAGAGCCTTCAAACAAGGGCGAAACTATTAATATTGCAATGTATCAAGTTATACTGAGCCAGGAACTCTGTGAAACTCATCAGCTGGTGGGAATTTCCTGGCATGTAACCTCTCTGAGTGATTCAAACATACGTAGGTGATGAGGTCAGGTTCAGGTGCTTTAACCTAAACCTAGTACTGTCTACAATTGGTGAACAATTCAAGTTGTGTGCTGATACAATTGTACTAGCCCTGCAGTTTCATGTCTGTCTACAGGAAAATATCCTAATAAATTAATGCTCATCTCAGTGTGCCAAAGAAAAAAGCGGCAGTATTAACATCCTGTTTGGATTCGCTTTCGTTAGAAAAGTTCACAAAATCTGTTTATTAACAGCGCATTTCTGCAATAAACAGTTCAATTAATTGAAATCAGCATGTACTGTAGCTTATCAGGTCTTGCTAAGTCAGTGAAAGAGTAGCAGAGATTAGGAAGTAGATGGGTCTGGTTAATGTTTGAATTCAGTGGAGCAAGTTGATTAAAGGCTGATCCAACCCTGTCGCAAGCTTCCTCTGCATGCATCTAACTCAAGAACAAAAAACATTTCTCATCAAAAAGTTGGATTAAGGATGTTTCAGATGGCTTGACAAAAGGTGTAAAAGACTATTTACATCAAACTAAAGAAACTGCCCTCGCCACTGATTGTTATTCTGTTGATTTCTTAAGAACCCCAATTCACCATCTTTGAAGCTGGATATGACTCATTCAACCCTTAAATATGCAACTAACACTGAACTGGAGGATGTGGTAAAACAGCAATGTTTCCCAGAACAGTGAAGAGACCTGGCAGACAACAGCAGCAAGCCAGCAATCACTATACCTCATCCCTATTATTAATACAGATACTGATCATAATCTAAACTCTAATGCATTCAGTGTAGCTTTTGTAATCGTAATACATACTAGAAGGGCATTTGGAGAGCGTAGACCTTTACCAAGGCCCATAGTCCAGTCGTAAGTGTTTGTATTACAACTGACCTATCTCACAATGCTAATGAATCGGATCCACTCCAAAATTTTGCTCCATGCTTCACCTTTCCAACAAGTTTCATCAACAAACGGCCCCGAAAACATAACCACCTTGGCAGAGGTAAAACTAGTCCAAATGTATGTGTGTACACACATCCAGTATATTCCGCATATCTATTTTTAACATTTTTTCCAGAGGTATAACATAATAACATACCTAAACAACCTTGATATGTAATTTTCCTTGAAGGAAACATTTTCCCACTACCCTATCAAATTCACACACAAAACTAGACATGTGCTGGCTTGTAGTGGCAACTGGCGGTTTCAAATAGACGTAATCCACCTACTCAGATTACCTTTTGTTGGCAGAAGTTCACAAAATCAATTTTTATTACCAGTACAGTTCTGCAATGGACCTTTCTATATTAATAATGTGAAAAACAAGACTGAACTACTGAACTAAATCTTTAAAAACTTGTTTGCACTCCTAAAGTGGGTAGTTTAAATTAATTCACCCACCTAATTTTACATTGCTGTGGTAATTTAGGACGCTACTTTAAAAATGTGAAACATGTATAGCAATTTTTACTTATTGAAACAGTTAAATCCCGTAAGAACTTGTGAACCAACAATATTACGCCCTTGTTGAAGTCACTGACGAGCCGTGTGCTATGTTAAGATTATCTGATAAATGTGTTAAATGTGCCACAATGTGGGAGTGATACTAACTGGCGTGCAGACAATCAGTGTTTTGTCTGGCACCACTGAAACATAAAGTAAAAAAGAAAACCAATGACATTCATGAATGGCTAAAAAAATAAAATGTACTACACTAATGCATTTGTCAATAGACAACTCCCGGCTTTTGCAAAAGTAGAGTCTATTTTAAACATTAAGCAGAGTGAACTGAAACACTTTAGAGGCGTGCAGATATTCTGTAAATGTTTAGATAAACTGCAATGACAGTATCAGCGTCACAGGGTCGGTTTTCTCTGCACTTCTGTTTATTTTTGAGACAGAATAAACTTTGTAACAGTCAAACAAATAACTGTTTTGGTCGATTGCTTCCTCTTTAGGTTCAAATTCTGGAAGAACAAAAGTATCTTCCTCTTCAATATAGTGGTGGCTGACTTCTTGCTGGTGGCCTGTCTTCCCGCCAAGGCCTACCATTACCAACACCATCAGAGGCGCAGCCAGGACAGCATGGTGTGTAAGATGATGCTCTTCATGCTGTTTCTCAACCGAGGAGCCAGCATCGCCTTCCTCCTCATCCTGTCCATCGATCGCTACTTCAACGTGGTCCATCTCGGAAGGAGGAATTTTGTCAAAATGCTGAAGAAATCTCCTCAAATCTCCATCTTCGTCTGGCTCCTCTTGTTGCCCCTCACCATCCCCACAATGCTGAAAACCTTTGAGTGCTGCAATAGCCATGGCCGTGAGGTTGAGACTTTTTATCACGATGTGACCGACACGTTCAGAGAGGTATTGTCTTTGTTTCATCGTATTGATTTAGTATGTATTCACATATATTTAAGAATATACCTATGAAATGCAAACAGACAGACTTTAATGCCTTTAATTGTTTATACTCTCACTGTCATGAAATTTATTAGAGTCAACCCTGCCAAAGCTAGTAAGAATTACAGTTATTTATACAACCTCAAGTCTACACACACACTTCCTATAAATATATTTCCCTATTCCCCTTACTCACAGCTTGCCACAGTCTTCAAGCAAAAATGCCGAAATCCACTCTCAATCGTGAATATTTGTCGGTTTTTGTAGCTTTCTATGACAGTAAATAGAATAGTAAAAGGTGAAGGCATTGGCCTCTTGTGATGGAAACATTTCATAATTTTTTTTATAATTTTATGAACAATACAAATAGTTAACAGACTGAGAAAATAAGGAGAAGATCAACTGATATTCAATCAAGAATCATTAGCTGTAGCCATGATCTTTACTTCTTAAATTCTTTCAACCTTTCAAAGGTTCTGTGATTAATAGCAATCACATGCATCGTAACAATATACAGTTTTGTTGTTTGAGACTATCTGACTTCTTGTAGATCACAAAATGAAGAGTTTTTAGTAAAGGTTTACAGAGACGACTGAAGAGTATAATCCCCTAGACACTGGTTTTGAGTCATTATAATCTTTGAGTGAGGGGTTGTAAATGATGAACTCTGGTCATCACACTAACAGTCATTTCATTTTTTTTTTTAAGATCGTCTTCTTCACCCAGATCATCATCCCCTTCTTCGTCCTCGTCTACTGCACAGTGCGCATCGTCAACAGACTGAGGAAGAAGACGGTAGGAGAAAAGACCAAACTGAGGAGAGCTATGTGCGTTGTCATGTCTGTTGTCGTCGTCTTCTCCATCTGCTTCCTGCCTTGCACTATAGCCAGAGCGGTGCTACTGTTCACCAGGCAGAAATTCCCGGGGTCGGAGAACATAGCGACTCAGGTCTACGACAGCTTCATGGTTTTGTCTTACATGGACTGCCTGCTGGACCCGCTGGTGTACTGCTTCTGCAACTCAGGGTTTAAAGACGCTTACGTATCCGTCTTCTGCCCTACGTTTCTTCAGAAGAAGCTGGCAAATACTGACTTTGGCTTGGGAACAACAACAACAACAACCACAACAACAACAACAACAACAACTACAACATGTGGAAATAGACCCATTATTTTGCCGATATTAGAGAAATGATTCTTTTTTTCTTAAATTATAATTAAAACCATCTTCGAGGGAGCACAGGTGATTTATTTACCATTATGCCTCAGCCACACAGATACAGTAGCATAACCACTGGTCCGCCTGCACAGCTTGTTTGCAGCTTCTCTGGTACTCTATGAAAATATCAGTAAAGCAATACTGGTCAAACTAAAGACAGCACATGCTCGCAGTTTATCTAGAGTCCAAATTATGATTCAAATGCAGTACACTTTTACTTTTACTATTTCTCACATAATGTGCCAGCAAAAGGTTCAGTCATGTTATTGGTTTGTGTGTAAACTAATTTTCTATTCAAGGGCAGATCAAAGTTTTAAATAACTTTGTATTGGAGCTATCGAGACCTCTATCCAGAAGTATTTCAATGTGAATGTAATGTGTCATATAAAGCTTAAAAAGTTGCTAAATCGACAAAAATAGGTGCAAAAAAAGAAAGTATCACTGTCAGTCTGTACATGTACTGTGAAGAAGACTGTTCAACCAAAACCAAATAACTGCAAACCTCAGTGTGGGTGTAAGGGGCATTTAAGTGTGTTAACAGGGTTGTGTATAAAACTGAGAAACTGTCTGATTTGTCGACTCATGTGACTGCTGTCTAATCTACAGTTGAATACAGAATGCAAAATCATTTAAGGACAGTGTGTTAAATGTAAATATACCTTTCATCTGCTTGCTTTCAATAGTAGAATGTATATATATATATATATTTGTATTATATTATTATATATTTTAATGTATTAGGGCATTTCTTTTGTGAATTTTGTTACATATGATGGCCCCCTGCAATAACTACAGTAAAGTACACAGTATGGTACAGAAACAATCCAAAAAACAAGCTGCTACACAGCTCTCTTTCATCACTCAGAGAACTCTGTATCTCTGTGTTCATTATCAGTACCTCAAATCAGTTGTACCTGTTCTTCTCGGGGTTTGGAAACCCCATCACATTACTCAAAAATGTACATTTACGTTTCAGTATTTAACTGCTACTTGAAGATTTTGGAATGAATGTCTTCCACGTCCACATTTCCTGTCCACAACTGATGTGTAACTCATTATTCATGTCCCTTTTATAATCAGAGTAAACTAGCCTGTATACATGTTTGTGTTTAGGAAGTTAAAAATGATGTTCCACAACCAATACGAAAATGTCAAACCCAAGTGGACTACAGAAACCTGGAAGGCTGTTTTAAACTTTCCTCATTCACACTGTATACAATTTTGGGCTGTTTATGAATAAAATTTAATTATTTGTATATGATTGTGATCCTGACTGAAGATCTTTGTTTACTGCTGCTGTAAATACACAGAAAACAGGTGATACAGAAGAGAAGAGAGTTGTCTTTTCTCAGCGAAACGTAACCACGAGATGGAGACGACATATACACACACTGTGAGATGCACCGACATGCAAACATGTGAAACCAATTTACTCCTCTTCTAATCCCAGACCATTACAAAAAACAACTATAGATGCACCAATTGGGAAACTCTTGGCAGATACCAACATGTATAGGTAACATAATATATGTTTTAATTAGTGTATAATCACCTGAGAATAGGGTGTTGTGTTTTTGTTACCTTAAAATGAGCCGCTGTTATCTACAGACGCCGCAGGTTGCCATACAAACAAAGAAATCTGCAAAAATAAGGATAAAGACATGGCCTGTCTTGTGTTTTGTGATGTGAGACACTGTCTGTGTTGCTGCATGGAGCACGTTGGTGTTTGCGTGCAATGTGTGCCAGCGTTGAAGAAACAGAGGTGATAATTTCTCCGATATCCGAGTTTGAGAAGATCAACAAAACATTTAGTGAGCTCAAAACTAGCGCAACATACTAGATAAAGACTGGCTGCTGATATCAGTGAAAAACCACAGTTTATTTGCTGATAACGATGCCAATGTTCAGCCAATCTGCAGCCTCCATTTTACACCCTTTCGAAAGTTGATACACTTGAAGCAGCAGGTTCCCACGTACCCTAACCTCCCTGTGTCTGTCTTTCTGAGACTCTGCCTATAGACGTGTTAACCCCTCATTGCGAGGTGCGTAGGCTTTGTTCTAGGGAAGGTTGTGTGGGTGTTACAACAGGAGGGCTGGTGGTGGCTCTCAAGTTGAGGCTAGCAGCAGCAACAACAACAACAGAGAGAAGAAGAATGACAACAAAGTAAAACAAACCAAAGAAAAACACTAGACATCAGTGTTATTGAAGCCGCCTTCTTTGACTGGCTGCGTGCCCAGTCTGCTTTCTCAAAGCCTGTAATGGCTTAATGTCTGAAGGGGAATGAAAGGAAGAGAAACTATCATCATGATAGGTATCTCCTCAACTGAATCTACTCAGTGTGGTAACAGGAGTAGGGCCAGATGTTGGCACTGATCTCCTGATTTAATTCACAAAGTAAATTCCATTTTTGATGATTCAGTTACATCAGATAAATACTAATATTGCATAAAGCGCTTTATCTTGATCCTGGAAACCTGAATATCTTCATTCCAACAACTAAGCAACACTGTTGTTTCCTGGAAGAACAAATTGTGCATGCTATTAGCTAAACTGTAAACACATTGATTGCTGATTATAAAACTGTGGATCAAGAATTTATTTATTTTTGCAAATGCAAAACGACTAAAACATGACCAGTTGGATTGCTGGGCTCGGGGGGGAAAGCTGAAGCTAAACTGACCTGCTGGAAATGCTTGAAACTAATCTGCACTGTTGGCATGAACCTGTATAAAAGAGTAGATGAAGTCTAAGGTGAGAAAGGGCTGCACTGGACATGAAAAGGAGTTTAACTGAAATAAATAACTAAAAGGATGCTGTTTAAGATTCATACCATCCTGTACAGTGTCTCCCACCCACTCCACAATGAACTGGTCAAACACAGGAGGACTTTCAGTGCGAGACACAGGAAGTCATTCCTCCCTATGGCCATCAAACTGTACAACTCTGAGTCATTAGTCATTAAACTGGTGCTGTTAATGTGCAATAAGTCGATTAAGTGCAATACCCGGATCAACGCGCAATTCACTCGATTATTATGTCATTCTTTGTCATTTACAATCTAAAAACTCATTACTATTCATCTAATGTCTGTCAGCAATACTGTGTAATGTTTACACTTATGTTTATTATTATTATATTATTATTATTATTATTTCATTATATCTCTTAGGCTCTTATTATATTTCTATTTTCAATTATAATTTTTACTTTTTACTATACCTCTACCTTCATTTCTATTCTGTATATTGTGTTAGATATTGTATATAAGTACTATTCTTTGGCCTTTTTTCTTTTTTTATTGATAGTGACAGCCAAAGATGGACAGGAAAGGGGGGGCAGAAAGAGTGGGGATGACACGCAGCAAAGGGACGCAGGTCGGATTTGAACCCGGGCCGCTGCAGCAACTCCGTACATGGTAACGTTGTGTGAGTGGAACAACTGTAGCAAACAATCCCCGTCCCAGGGATCAATAAAGTATTTCTGAGAAATAAAAAATCAGCTGGTATCTATCTATGTCTGTTATCTATGTCTTAAAAAAAACTAGAATTCACGTCTGCAGTCAAGTTGCAGTTGCCATCCATGTCCGTCCAGACTCATTTAATATATGTACTGACAAGTGGTTCAAACATCTACTTGCCCGAAGTCAATCTTTACTTTCCCGTATACAAATTGTTTCATTTATTAGCTGTTGTCAAATAACAGCAAAGACCCTCTTAGCTGCCATGCAAGCAAGATGCTGAGAAATGACCCTGTTTTATCTGACTCGCTCTCAATAATTGCGGTTAACTGCAACACAGTTCCCTAATATAGCAAGCTTGTTACTTTTGAATTTAAAATAACCTTTTTGTTAGCAAACCTTTTTTACCCATCATGCAGCCCACTAAACCACTTGCAGCAACTCACCACTGCGTAACATTTAGAGAAGCTGTTCAACACTGACCTGCTCCCAGCAGAGTCAACAGTCGGCTCTGCTCCTGCAGAACTTTGTGGATCTGCTCAATCTGCCTCTGAACCACCTCATATGGAAGATCTGGATCCTGCCAACAGACCGACTGTGAGAACTTGACCAATAAAAGAGGACGGTGACATTCAGAGGCTTTACAGGGGAAATAATAACCTGATGTTCTACTGCTATCTAGTGGCAAGAAGAACTAAAAGTGGAACATTGGAACAGTATTGTACAAATAAAACCCTAATATTATTTCTATATAAAGGTCACGATCATTAACTAAAATAAATCCTCCTCTGGGACTACAAATAATACCATTTGTACAAAAAAAACAACGTATATGTTCAGCGGACTCTTTTTGTGGATATACAATGTATTATGTACAAAGAGAAAGCATGTGCCAGTTTACACAGTAACCTGAATCTACTGTAAACACAAGAACAGGCTGTGTTATCACAGCTGTAATATTATCCACACACGCCTACAGCAAAATAAACAGGGAAACTACGCATTTTATTTGTAGTCTTCACATCCTAAATGAAAACACATGCGTGAAGCTGGATTGTTGTTAAAAAAATAACTGCTTCGGATTCTTCTGCAGCTGATTCCTCTTGTATGAGCAGCACCAAAAGCCAGCGTTTAAAACTATTTTCTTTCTATGTTCACGCTCCATTTTAACTGCACCGTGAATACTGTGAGAAGTAAGAACATTATTAGGTAAAATAAACAAAATGAGGTGTGTTCGATGACCTTTTGTGTAATACAGAAAGATAGAATAGAAAATACAGTTTAAAAACATTTCAAATAACTAAAACAGGAAAGTAAACACACACTCGGGACTCTCAGGAAAACATACAGAGAAACTAGGCCTCAGGTACACAACAGTAAACAGATGGGTCTTTAGCTTTGCTTTTAAAAGCCTCAACAGAACAAGGCCGCCTGATTGTCCAGAGTTAACAATGTCGGGTGCACGGAAAGAAAAAGCCCGTTTCACCAGACTTGTCTTCTTTTTAACCTTCCTTGGGACACTCAAGAATGACCCGTCCGCCTGGAGAACGCAGGACTCGAGCAGCGCACATAGGGGTTCACTAGATCTTTAAACAACGGTGCGCTGCCATTTAATATTTTATACTATAATACTTACTTGGTGTACGGGCTTTATGGCTTCAGCATCCAGGTTTGCAGCAGCTTGCCGGTTTTGCCCAGTGAAGTAAGGGTGACTGTTGCCCGCCATCGGTTCACCCTGAGAGGTCAGTGGGTCCAGACGTCTGTCCCCTCGGTGCTCCGCCCCACCGCCTCCAGACGTAGGAGGGACAGGTGCAGGAGACTGGTTTGAGTCTCTGAACATCCTCTGGTGCGCTCTGTCCACGGGTATTTCAGCAGACATCAGTCGGTGATACTCACTCGGCTTCCTTTACACTGAGCTTGTCTTCATCTGAACAGCTGCAACATTTTTAAAAGTGGATTAATATAAAATGTCACAGTGAAATGAGAGTGAACTAAAAGGCTGAAATTATATTTGTTTGCATTTGAAACACTCAAAAGTTGGACAAAGTAATTGGAACTGTGAATATTTAGGCTTTATTAGACTGATTGAACAGTCCTACCTCCTCCTTTCACTGGCCTTTTCTTCAACTCACTGGGTTTTCTCATATTGGGTTCTTTCTCAAACAGCAGAAACCGGAGTTTTCTGTCAATATATAAGTTAAGTTGCGATCAATGGACAGTTAACAGTCAACTTTGTAGGGTTTTAATCAAGTGCCAATAGCTAAGACTGTGAGATATGTGGTTGAATGTTACATGTTTCTACATTTCGGAAACTGTGTTTTCTGTTGTTTACTGTGTTTATCTAAGTGTGTTGTTGTTGTTTTAAGTACTTAGGTGCACACTGATTTGCAATATTCATCATTATTATTAGTTTGGACAAGCTATTAGTGCATATACAACATATAAATGTGTTAAATATAATTTAAAAGTGTTTGTTTTCCTACCGTAGTGTTCACTTTTCATGTTCCCTTTAAATAGCAGCAGTAGTAGCACATATGAACATTCTGGTAGATCATATGCTTTTACTCCCATTATTTCAAGATAGAAGGTTCATTTTGGGATCAAACTGAAGCTTATTAATGTGGGATGTTTTTCTACATACAAGTGAGGCAGTGATATTCACCATAAAGGGCCAGAAAATAATGATTTTTGAAGAGAATTTGTCTTTTTTTGTGTTTTTTTTGTGTGTGATGTTTTAGGTTAAACAGAAAGGCATCAAGCACCAGAATCTCATTTTAGCCACTTCCTCCTTTGTTTCA